GGGAGAGGAGCTGGATCGTGCCGCGAGGCGTGGTTGTCTCATCTCCAAAAAGATCTCTTGGCATTGAAAAATGTTTGGAAAGGAGCAACAAAAATGATGTGGGGTCTGCAACAGCTGCCATCTCAAGAGAGACTAATAAGACTGGGGCTTTTCAGCATGGAAAAAGAGACGGAATAGGGGAGATATGAGAGAGGTCTATAGGGAGAGGAGCTGGATCGTGCCGCGAGGCGTGGTTGTCTCATCTCCAAAAAGATCTCTTGGCATTGAAAAATGTTTGGAAAGGAGCAACAAAAATGATGTGGGGTCTGCAACAGCTGCCATCTCAAGAGAGACTAATAAGACTGGGGCTTTTCAGCATGGAAAAAGAGACGGAATAGGGGAGATATGAGAGAGGTCTATACAATCATGACTGGTGTGGAGAGAGTAGATAAGGAACATTTATTTACTCCTTCTCATAACACAAGAACTAGGAGTCACCAAATCAAAATAGGCAGCAGGTTGAAAACAAATAAAAGGCAGTATTTCTTCATGCAGCACACAGTCAACCTGTGGAACTCCTTGCCAGAGGATATTGTGAAGGTTAAGACTACAAAAAGATTCAAAAAAGAACTAGATACATTCATGGAGGACAGGTCCATCAATAGCGATTAGCCAGAATCGGTAGGAATGGTGTCCTGGAGATGGATCATTTGATGATCCCCTGTTCTTTTCATTCCTTCTGGGGCATCTGGCATTGGCCACTGTTGGAAGACAGGACGCTGGGCTAGATGGACCTTGGGTCTGACCCAGTCTGGCCATTCTTATGTTCTCTTACAAACCACTCAAAAACATCCCTCTGCAGCTTTGAGTACCTTGGGTTTGATCTGTGTTTAAAGCTTTGCTCTCAGGATGGTGCGTTTGAACTGGTCCCTGGCTTGAACGGGCCAGACAGTTTGATAACCGGCGACCGATGTAACAGGCACTCACCAGAACTGCAGAACCCTCATCGCGCTCCCTCGCCCCCCTCCGTCTGGACACCTGTTCCTCGCAGAACAGACGGCTAGTCCGACAGATTGCTCCCCCAGGAGCAGAAATTGGGGAATCCGGAGGGAAAGACAACTGGTGGCTTTTGTGCGTGACCAGCCCTGTGAGCGTGTCCATTGGTGTGAGGAAAAGCGAGAGCGCGCAGTTGCTCTGTGGCCATCTGCCTCACCCTCTCCAGTTGTCCTGGCCCTTTGGACCACCCCTCCTCAAGCAGCTGCACCTGGAGCTCTGTGATGCTCCCCTCAGATGCGATTTGACATCAGCCTGGTGTTCAGCTTCCGGAAAAAGGAGCGCAGCTTGCAGATCTTGCACTTCTTCTTCTTGTTCTTATTTTTCAGCAGCCCGCCACCTCCCTCCCAATCCTCCGCGTCCTCCTCGCTGGCCCACGGCCCCCAGGCACCACCGTTCAAGTCCGGGTGGGCCCGGGGGTTCTCGGCCGGGTACCGAACGGGGATCGCCGTCCGGTTGTAGTAGACCAGCCTCTTCAAGAGAGCCCTCACCACGTCTGGGCGCTGTTCCGAAAGGTCGTCACGCTCGTAGGGGTCGGCCGTGATGTTGAAGAGCCAGACGGACTTGCGCACGCTGTCCGTCAGCCGCCGGGGAAGTTGGTGAGCATCTGAGGCGGGATCCAGTCGCTGTAGCCAGGGTCACCGGTCAGAAGCTTCCATTCCCTCACCCGTATGGAGGCCTGCACAGCTGTGTTCCAGATGCCGAAGCCACCCTCCAAGGAGCCATGCTTGGCGTGGTTGTAGAGGGGGTCGATGTTGTGTAGGATTTCAGTGCGTGGGGACTCTTTGCCCTCACTGATGGCCGGCCACACGTTGTACCCGTCCAGGCCCTCGGCTTCTGATACGTTGCCCCCAGCCAGGGCCACCAGTGTGGGGTACCAATCTGTTATGTGGACCAATGCCCGGCTGGTCCTGCGCTTGCGTTTGAGGAGGGGGCTGTGCACAAAGCCGATGCCCCGGACCCCACCTTCCCAGTAGGTCCCTTTGCGGCCCCGCAGAGGCCAGTTGCTCCCCCCCGAAAAAGTCTGCCCGCCGTTGTCCGTGGAGAACACGACCACACTGTTGTCATAGTAGCCATATTTCTTGAGCGCCCAGGTGATGTTCCGCACGGCCTCGTCCATGCACGTCACCATGGCGGCGTATTTGCGTCGTGCCACGTTACCCATGGAGCGGTAGCGGTAGATGTACTCCTTGGGGGACTGCAAGGGTGTGTGCACAGCTTGGAACGCCACGTAGATAAAGATGGGCTCCTTGGGGTTATGGGTGGCCAGGATCTTGCTTACACGCTGGGCGTAGAGGAGGGTGGAATACTTCCCACTCTGGTCCCACGCTACGTTCTCCCCTTCGTGCAGGTCGTAGCCACAGACGCCAGGACCATCGCAGTTGTCGTAGGTGTAGTAATCCACGTTGCCGGTCAGGGAGCCCAGAAAGGTGTCGAAGCCTCGCCTGGTGGGCAGGCATTCCTTTTTGTAGAAGCCAAGGTGCCACTTGCCCACCATGTGTGTCGAGTAGCCGGCTTCCTGCAGCTTTTGGGGCAAGGTGACCTGATCCAGGGGCAAGCAGTTGGGCTGCCGGGGCCGGATGATAGAGTGCTGCAGGCCGGTGTGGATTTGGTACCTGCCGGGGAACGAAGGAAAAAAAGAGAAATGAGTTCTGATCTGGAAAAGCTCTGAGGTGCCATTCCTTCATGGTGGCTACCTGAGTGAGGGCAGGTGACTGGACTTGATGACTTCTCAAGGTCCCTTCCAGCTCTACGAGATGGTATATCTCCATATTATTAAGAGCCTTATGTTTCTGTCAAGGCTGCTCCTCAATCTGGCCCTTTGAGTGCAGAAGGTGGGGCCCACAAGATACCTTAAAAATATCCTGCCATGAAAGGCTTCTACTTCAAAACTCCCCACAGTCACAGCCTTCCTGAGCTTGGGTGTTATACTGCCACCACCCAAATGCAAAACCCCCAGGAGCAAACACTTGGGAATTTCTTCCTGTGGGGGAAACCTCAAGTTCTTTAACCCTCCTTTAGGAGAGAGCTTAAAAACAAACTTAATAGTAGACCTTTAGTCTCAGGCACATGCGCACAGAACCTCCTGCTTTTTAGAACACGGGAATTGGATCATAGTCTTAAAAAGGGGATTTTATTGACAAAACAAAGAAGATATATTTGGTAAAGCATATTTGGTTGCCAGGTGTTATAGAGCAACTAAAAAAAAACAGATAAAAGCACAGAGAATTGCTTCCCTGGCATTCAGTTTCAGTTACATTGTACAGGGGAGGGATGGAGGCAGGGCTGACTTATCCATTAGGCACAGTAGGCACAGTGCCTAGGGCCCACGATACTTTTAGGGGCCCACGAAAATGTTTTAAGTTATTTTAAAATCAGAAGAAAAAACTGAACTTTTAGGGTCGAAGAAAATGTCAGAAAAAAATGAAACTTTTAGGGCCCATGAAAATCTATTAAATTTTGCCTAAAACAAAAAAATAAAATAAAATGTTGAAGTATTTAAAGTTATATCAAAAATAATTTTTAATATTTTTTTTTATGGAGGAAGGGACCCACGAAGGCAAAAGTACCTAGGGCCCACGAAAGTCATAATGTGGCCCTGGATGGGGGTAACACAGTGGAGTTTAACGAACCAACCAAAAAATCCAAAGATGATAACCTGATCACATCTAACTAAACATTTCCTGTTCTACTTACATCTGTTGCTCCAAAGTTTATGTGTCTTTCCTTAGACATGGATATTCAATCCATGTCCTATTTCTGCTCAGTCCACATTCTCTCCCAGCTCCACTCTGAACTCACACATGCAAAGGAGAATGAAACAGGCAAAACTTGTTTCATTTCAAAAAATCTTCTCCGCTCTTACCATTGGCTCCCTGCCAACATTTCCTGGATCCCACTGTTCTTGGTTTAACCCTGTAGTGACTGGATGATGTACCCCTCCCATCCATCACAGTTTCATCCAGGAACAAACTGTGAAAAATCAGTTCAGCCAAGCCCCTCAGGCCAACAGTGCCGGACGGTCATTGGGCTGCTCTTCAGTAAACAGCTCCATTGTGCAACCCTTCCGTGTGTTGATGAGCACTTCCTTGCATTAGTCATCCTGCTGAGGTCAATGGAACTACTTGTGTGAGCAAGGACTCAACAAGATGAGCGAGACTTGCACAACCTAGCAGTTTGCTGGAGGGTCCATATGGAGATTAAGTCTGTCCTAAGAGTATGAGCATCTTTTCTCTCATTCTCAAATTCAAGTGATTTCTAGCTTCTAGTGGCACTAAGGTGGCATCTACTCCACCCAGACCCTGAGACCCAAGAGACTGAGATGAGGCATGCTGCATACAATGACCATTGATCTCCAAGCCAGGTACGTAGACATGCAGCTACCCTAGAGAGACAGAGTTAAGATGCCTCTACACTGAAAGCACCACATGGTCCAACAGAGACTCAGCCAGTACCGTCTACAAGGATGCATACCTCTCTTACAATTGCATTGAGAATCCGTCAATTAAAGGCTATAAAGTACAGCAAGCAGGAAAAGCACCATAGACACGTTAAGAAATGTTATTACTACTAGGGGAGGAAAACCCCTTTTGGCCCCATGGCCATAGCAAACACCATGAGTCAGTGTAAAAAGGGAAGAAAGGATGGTATCGTGTCTGGCTACAGGGACAGGCACCGTAACACCATGGCCATGCGGATACTAGTGCTTTCTTTCCCACCTGCTTGCAAAGGTGACAGCTGTCTCCCTCCTGTCTGGGGGCCTGATGGAGGAGGTTCTCACGTGTCACCTGGTTGTTGATTTGTTTGCTTTATCTCCGTCAGTTCCCAAGGGCTCTGCCGACATGGGTGTGCACCGTTTGACTGCTTTACAGACAAGAAACCTGAACTACATGGACAGGCTATGAGTGTTAAGAACAGCTAGCGATGTTGATTGCCTCCTTGAAGGTGCCTTTAAAATTTAATACAGGACTATGTAGCACTTTAAAGACTAACAAGATGGTTTATTAGTTTATTAGTTAATCTTGTTAGTCTTTAAAGTGCTACATAGTCCTGTATTTTGTTTCAGCTACACCAGACTAACATGGCTACATTTCTATCACCTTTAAAACTTGTGGCCTAAGAGACTTGCCCAGCATTCACACAGCAAGACAGGAATAAACCTCCCACATCTCCTGATTCCCAGCCTGGTGCATGGTTCCCTCAACCATGCTCAATCTCTTCAATACTTATCCGGACCCACATTCTCACAGCACCTGAACACCTCACTGTCTTTATTTAGCCTCACACACCCCTGTGGGACAGAGCAGGGCTTTTATCCCCACTGGCCAGGCAGAGAAAGGAGACGGAGACTAAATGACTCACCCAAGGTCACACAAATCAGTGGCAGAGTAAGGGCATAAGCCCCTGTCACTGAAGTTCTAGGCTGGCACGTGAACCCCTGACCATCCAGGGCAAAGGGACCAAATTTAGCCCTAGCATAATGTCCATTGACTTCAGTGGGAGTTGTACCTGCTTAAATAGGGACTCAGCATGGTTCAAGATCCCTGCCCCATGGAGTCTACAGTGTAAAGTTTTAAGTAATTTATTATACTACACGCAAAACAATTCTTTCCCAAGGGATCCTTCCAAGAGGTCCTCAAAGTTTTGTTGTCAGCACAACAAGCACACTGGGTATTTTCCAGAGAGCTATCCCATAAACACCTATCATTTTACCTGCCCACAGTAAGCTGGAGTTAACCAATCAGAAAAGAAGGAAAGAAACTGTTAAGTTTCCCAGGACAGCGAGCAGGTGCCGCTGCTGTCTTACCTGCCCGTTATAAGTTGGCTCCTGGATGGGGTACAGATGGGCTGGATGTAATAATTCTCCAGCTTAACCCCTTCGGCTGCGAGCCTGTCTAGCATTGGTGTCTGTATGTCTGAGCCATGGTACCCGATGTCATGGTACCCCTGGTCATCAGTCAGAATGAAGATGATGTGAGGTGATCTGGAGAAGGAAGAAGAGAGCGATTTCTCCATGGAAACATCTGTCACCAAACTGGGCTTCATCCAATCCCAGGACAAGTAGCCAAAACTAAGCAGGCTGACCAGTGAGAAACCTGTGAGGGCATAAACAGCCATGCTGGACCAAGCATCCAGGCTTCTAAGGGAAGTTACTGTCCCAGCATCTTACACTGAGAAAGAGGCACGGGAAATCTCTTTCTCTTCCAAAAATAAAATCACAATCTACCCTCCCACCCTAGGGTTTGTCCTTCCAAATTCCTTTGGCAAGTTTTATAGAAACAACTCTCTCCCTCCCCTCTCCTCCCCTCCTCTCTCTCTCCTTAGAAAAAAAAAGAGAAGCAATTAAATCCACCAGTGCTGCAGGGCTGTTTTCAGTAAAAAGAAAATAATCTTCAAGCTGCTACAATCAAAGGCACATGCCCCATAAAGTTAATTTCCTCTGTGACTTGAAGTTTCCAAAAGTGCCCCTCTGTCTCCAGTTTTTAACACCACCACTCAAAAACCGGCTAGCGACCAAGCTGGGTTCGCGTCCAGTCCAGCTGTTTACACGCTGGGCTAGCCAAATGGCTCACGGAGCTCAGAAGATGATCTTTGTATGTAAACTGCGGTGGAAGATGGAGCGAAAGTTCAAGCTCACAGCGGCTGAGTCCTCTTCCTGACTCCACCGTGATGAGCCATGTTCTCCCTTCTTCACAGTTTGCGGGGGAAAGATTTCTTGGCAAGACCTGAAATCATTGTTCACCATTGTTCTCCTGGCTTTCTTCCTTTGTTTTGTGTGGTTGTTTGTCCTTCCCCCCCTGCTCTGTCTTCTACATGAGCTCCCTCAAGAATCCCCACAGTTTTTTTTCAGGGCTAGACAAAGAGCTCTGGGCGCTCCCTGCTTAGCTTTGCTCTAACTGCAAACAAAGTGAGGAGAGAGCAAAGCCAGGGGGGAAAAGAGAGAAAGCTCCCTCCTGAACAGACTGGAGAAGGCAGAAAGTTGTAACATCTGCCCAGGAGACAGGCTAAGCAGCCAGGTTTATGGGGAGCTTGTGTTTCAGCCCCTCCCAGCTCTTTCACTGACTCAAGGAAAAAACCTGGCAAACCCAGAGCCCTGCAGGGTCCTAACACTGGCGCTGTTCCCCTGCTTCAGAGCTGCAGCAAGGAGGCCTCCTTCTCAGATGTGTGCAGGAAACTAATCCAGGACCAGCACGCAGAGGTTTCTTGCCCACATTCCTGGAGGCATGTTCATTTTTCTGAACCTGAGGGTTTTAAACAGGATGCTTTACTCTCCCGAGGCATCAGAGCTGCTGGTAGGGCTGTCTGGCATTCCCCGCCACTCGCCCGGCACAACAAATATGTTTCTCTGGAGTCATTGCAGGGCAAATTCCTAAGACTGCAGAAAAACCTCCTCCGCCCCACCCCTGCCGCTTTCCCATTCTCACCCTTGCAGAGATGTGTCCAGAGGATATAAAGAGCTGGTGGCAGAATTAGACCTGGAATAGTGATGGATAAACAGCAGAGCCCAGCCTAGGTGTTACAGTAATGCAAATAAATAATAACACTGAATAATCATTGAAAGATCCCTTGTAAAGAGGAAAGGACGGTGATTAATTATAGAATCCTGGATAATGAACAACACAGGAATAGTTAATTGCACTCAGCACTCTTCAACTGTAGCTCTCAAAGCAGCGTCCAAAAGAATTAACCTTCTTATTCCCATTTTACAGATGGGGAAACTGAGGCAGATAATGGTTAAAGGTCTTGTCCAGGTTAAATATCTTGTCGGATGTCCCATGACAAGTTCAGAGCAGGATTTGTAATGGACTCAAGGGCTCTTCCAACACCAGCAGTCCCCAAGAACTAGCTTTGTGTCCTATTGGAAGTACCGTCTGCCTGCTACATCCGTTGGCAAGTCCAGTTGCTCACCTTGCTCACAGGAGTCTTCTCCTCTTGACTTTAAAGAGCAGGACTTGGCTTGAAATAAAAGCCTCACGTTCGGAATATGATAAAAAACTAGTTGCGTGTATTCGCAAGATCCTAGCGAGAGCCCAGGGACCTGGGAAAGTCAAACGTTAGTTCGAGGCACCTGGGCTGTCATTCACTCTGCAGAGAGGGAGGCTGAACTGCAGATTTCCCCGGCTCTAAGGAGGTGGTAATTATCTCAAATTCGGTGACATGACAGCACCAATTACATAGATGTAGGCCCATGCATAATCATGAGGTACTCTGATTTCACTGTCTCTGGTTTACACCAGCAACTGGAGGGGAACTACTCCTGACTGAGCCTGGGGCAAGCTAGATCCGAATCATTTCCCTATCATTTCAATGGGATCTGGGAGTGCATTCTAAGTTGCCCTCTTCACATCTCACCAAAAGAAAAGAAAATGGCATCAGTGCTAGAGAGCATGGGTTGGGCCGTGGGGCTCCCCTCCCCCTCCCCCCAGATCCCGCCCACCAGTTCTGGCCCCTAGGCTCATGGTTCTCAATTAGGGATACACATATCCTGGGGGTATGTAGAGGGCTTCCCGGGGGTACATTAGCTCCTCTAGCTTTTTGCCTATTTTTACAAGAGGCTACATAAAAAGCACTAGTGTCATTGGTAGAAACTAAAATGTCAGACAATGACTTGTTTATACTGCTCTGTGTACTGTAGACTGACATGTAAATCCAATATGTATGTTCCAATGGATTTCTTTTCTAATTACACTAGAGGAATTACCCTGCATTGCTCAGGTCCTTAACTGAAATATGTTTTTGTTTTTCATTGATATCATTGCTCTGGGGTGGGGCTGGGGATGAGGGGTGCAGGCTGCCCCCCGGGAGAGAGGATGGGTTGTCACTGCAGCAGCTTGGGGCCAGGTGAGAAGCGCCTCTCCATGGCTGCTGTGGGCACCGCCAGGGGAGGGGTGCATGTCCCCTGGCGGGGGGACAGACAGACACACAAACAGACAAACTCTCTCAAATATATAGTAGATAGCTGCCCCTTTCTCCACCCTTATGCCCACGGGGTTAGAGCTGTCCCAGTCCCCATCTCTGGCCCATTGCTGCCCCCCCCCCCGCTAATAGACCCCTCCCTCTCCATTTTATGAGCAACAATCCCATTCCAGGCACATCCCACTGTCTTGGCACCACCAAACCCTGCCCTGGCTTTAGGTTATGAAAAGCGGAAGCTGCACGCCAAATTTGGTGATCCTAGCTCTCCCCACTGAGGAGGCGTTGTCGAACAAACACACTCACAGACAGACAAATGGACGGACGGGCAGACAGACACACACACTCTCTCGCATATATTGTAGATGGCGGTGAGGAGAAAGTCAGCGTTTTTTCAGTCATGGGGCGCTGGGGCGCTTTTGTATTCCAATGTGGGATGTGTAAGCAAGTCTTTTTTAAGTGAGGTGTCACTTGGGGACGCGCAAGGCAAACCAGCCTCCAGACGTGGCACAATAGTCTGGAAAGGTTAAGAGCCTCTGCCTGTTACCAGCAAAACGGGGCAGCTGCACTTTCAAAGGAGAAGTCGGGCTTTAGGACCGCAGGGCAACCCCGGCAGGAGCTGCAGCTCAGCTTCTTGGATGAGTTCCCCTGTGAGGCTCTTGTAGCTCTGTAGACTCAGTGGAACAGCTGGGTGGGTTTACTCAGCACTACTCACTCTCTTGCCATCCCTCTCTCCTCCACTTGTGGGATGCTCTGACTGGGACCTTGGCGCCCATGGTAAGTTCAAGCTGGTCTAGCTGCCCCACACGACCCAAGACAGAGCATCCCAGGCACAGCATGGAGAAGTGGGAAGAAAGATTCAGAAGGCTCCAAAATGCTTTCCCCCCCCCAGGCAATCTGGGGGCTTGGAAGAAAACACAACCACTGTCTAATGTGGGTGCTGTTCTCACTGCAGGTTCCCGGTGGGAGCGGGCACCGCCACAGAGCAAGGAAGAGGAAGATCTGCCCTAGAAACAAACTGGGATGGTGATGGCAGAAAGAAGTAGAAAGCCCCACTGGTACCACAGGGAGAGTTTTCCACCTGCCTTCCCAAGCCCTAAACATTCCAAGGGAAGAGGAAATTAACTCAGTCCCTGCCTTAGCATCTCTGCTGCCTTCCCCAAGACACTCTATGGTTAGATCTACATATGCTGGAACACATTAGGGTTACGTCTACACTGTGCGGTTTTTGCACAAGGAAGTCTTTTGCGGAAGAGTTCTTGCACAAAAACACGTCCATACCTCAAAGTGCATCGCAAAAGCGATGCACTTTTGCACAAGAGAGCGTCCACACTGAATGGACGCTCTTGCGCAAGAAAGCTTTGATGGCCATTCACAGAATGGTCATCAGACCACCTGTGATTTTTCCCATAGGGGATTCTTGCACTAGAAACCCCTCTGAAGTGTCCACACTTGCCTTTTGGCACAATTGCTGTAGTGCAAAAGGGAGTTATGCCTCGTAGAAGGAGGTTTACCTGCACCGGCAAAAGCCCTCTCTTCTGCCATTTTACTGCTGATTTACTTGCGCAAAAGCGCATTTGAGGTGTGAACGCTCCACAGATTTTTGCGCAAAAACTTTGCAGTGTAGATGTAGCCTCTCTGTTCTCATGTTTAGTAATTTAGTAGAGGCTGGGTGGGGGGAGGTACTATAGAAGAAACAATGGCAGAAACACAGATGGGCTAGATAGCTCTATCTTTTGGACAGCAGTCTTGTGTCTTTTCACTGCTGCCAGGATCCATGCACGCACAGGGAAGCACGGTGGTGTAATATGGCAGATAGAAAAGGGGGCTGACATCAGGATTTGGGGGCTCTGCTTTTTATTCTGCCTCAACTTTTTGATTCATCCCAGGCATGTCACTTAACCTCCCCCTGCCTCATTTGATCCACCTGTAAAAGCGGGGATTCCTGTGCCCAACTTCCCAGGAAGCACGTTAATGTTTGTAAAACACTCCGCATCACAGCCCCAAGGCAGTGAGTTCTTTCCAAGTCTAATGCCAGCACTTTCTAAATAATAAATAGAAGTTGGTTTGCGTAAATGTCTCCTGGAAATGTGGACATACTGGGCTTTCCCCGTCTGATTTTTAATCTTATCATTTAGACACAAGGCTGACTTACTCCCTTTGTTCAAAACAGACCTTAACATTAATGGGAGTTTTTTTTCTTATTGTTCTTCTTTGTCCATGTCTTAGTACCAGTGATCACATCAAAATTGCTCTGGGCACAGTATTTTTTTTAAGTTACTTGGAGCTGCACAGGCACTGCATATTTTGTAGGTCCTATACAAACTGTGTCTATTTTTTCGTCTTGTTTGTTTTCCTTGCTGTGGAGAGGCAGTTTGGTTTTAGAAAACCATCCTATTTAGAATCTGTAAGACATGGGCTGTAAACAGTGATTGTAATCATTTTAAGATAGGGCAAACTTGGCGACTAAACTAGTTACCAGCATCCCCCTAAACCAGATAATCATCCGCAACAGCAGGGCAAAAATAACCCCAAGCAGCCAACTTGGAAAGAATTGATTTCTCTGTGCTGCCTGCGCAGGAAAGTGGAGAGGGAATGGGAGGAGGGGTGGAGAGATTAGGCTGGAGTATGTCAGGACTGGCACGTTGACAGAGCTTTGGGGGGGTGCAGAAGGGACGTTCTGGAACAGCAAGGCCGGGGTTGAGGTGGGTTGGCAGAGCGGCAGGGGAGCCAGGAAAGGGTGGGATAGCAGGGAGTGATGCAAGTCTGTACACAACAACATCCTGCTGGACACGGAGACAGTAAACAAGAGTTGCACAACTAGAAGCAGCACGGCACACGCAAATCATGAGCTAGCTCAGCTGCTGGGTGAGCTCCTCGCGCATGGTACCAGAGAGGGAAGGCACAGCAGAGATGGGCTGAAGGGTGGCACATGGTGGGAAGGAAAAGCAGTGGTGGAAGGCAGCAAGCATGAGCAGGAACTCAGGCTGGGGAGGCACCAACTGGAGCGAGGGGGCCAGCGACTCAAAGAACTACAGGCAGCCAGCTGCCCAGGACACACAGTGATGAGAGAAGGCATCAGAGGTCTTGGGGAAAGAAAGCCACCACTGGACAGAGTGCCCATGTGTGCAGCAGGCACCGAAGAGAAAGGAGGAAGAAATCCCAGCTAGAGGCAGGAAGCACAGACACTCCTTTGGGGTAGGGTGGGTTCCAGCCACGGGGACCAAACGTAGGAGGTTGATACACCACCGCCGGCAGACAGTGATGAACTGCAGAGCAGCAGGGAAGTCCCAGCTGCAGTGTGGAAAATGGAGCAAAGCTCCAGCCATGCCCCGAGGGTCCTGTGCTTCTAGGCGGTCGTTATATCCTCATGGTGACTCTCCACCCTGCCTCTCATCTTTTTCTAGAGGTCAGGGCCACAACTTACTGAGCCATTTTCATCATTGGCAGAGTCAAAGGATGGGCGGGGAGTTCCCACCATCACCCTGGGCCTCCTTTTTCCGGGATCAGACTTTTTAGTGGTGTGGGGAGAGCTACGGGAAACCCAGGCCTGCCCACTACTCTTGGGTCTAGCCCAAGGACCCTAGGCAGCAGCAACTGACAGGGGTTTTCCTCTAGCCCCAATACAACAGCCTTTTCCCTAGGCCACTTCCCCAAACACTCCCCTAATACCCTCTCCCTGAATGACTTTTTCCTTTCTCAGCAACACACTTCCTCCTCTCAGCCCATCCCTCTTCTCTTTCCCCCACCCTGACCTGGGGGGAAACCTTTTAAAGCAACCCCTTAGATCTTAACTGGCTGCAGGTGCCTGATTAGCCTGGTTCTTTATTAGCCTCAGGTGCCTGCCTTGATTACGTGGCTGCAGTCTCTGGCCATTCACTCCGGAAACAAAAAGCCATTCACCCAGCTCCCAGCATTTCTGCCTTCCAGCAAACTGTTATAGCCAGCTGCCCCGGGTCTGTCACACCAAGTATAAACACTGAGGTCCAGATCCTACTTTCAGTTACCCTGGTGTAAACTGAAGCCAATGGAGTTATTCTGGATTTACACCCATATCAGGGACTGCAGAATCTGGCCCAAAGTTTTCAGTCTAAACTGCTGGTCTAATGCTCTTGTAAACCCAAGACAAAGTTCTGCTCTGAGGTATAGCTGGGTCAGTGGCAGGTTTGCACAGGCCTCAGATGGGACTTAGAGAGAGCCGGGGCCATGTAGGTTTTCCAGGAGCCAAGGCTCTCGCACACAGTGTCACGTTTAGCACAGAGCAGCCAAATCCTGGCTAAGCTGAGATACAGGGCCCAAGAGAACTTAGATCTACAGATCTGTTTGTGGGGAGGGACTTAGAGAAGACTGGATCCAGGCAAAGCAGGAGGGGATTGGAGGGGGGGTATTGGCTGGCTTTGGTTACCCTCTGATGTCCCCTGTGCTTTAATTTAGCATGAATAATAGGGCAAACTCTGAGACAGCCACAGAGCTGTATGCAATTCCAGCACCAGATGCTGAGAAGAGCAAAGACTATTCCTATGCTCTTAGACCAGGGGCGGGGAACCTAAGGCCCAGACCGGATGCAGTCTCTGGCTTGACTGGATCTTGCCCCCAAAGCTCAGGGCTACCCCCCCCCCAGTATTGGGGAGCCCACACTGGTGCTGCAGCCCTCCCACGCCATTCCCCCTCGAGGCGGGAGCACACAGAATCTACTAGCCTGGGCTCGGTTAGGCTCTGGTGTGAGAAGGGAATGTGGGGAATGTTTTTCTTCTCAGTTGGGAGCCACATCAGTGAGGGTTGGTTTTTCCGCTTTGTTTTGTTTTGTATGTTTGTTTCTCACTTGTGTGCAGCCCCCGACTGATTTTTCTGTGGGTCAGCAGCCCCCAACCCCAAAAAAGTTCCCATAACACTGTATTAGGTTGCCTTTGCTGGCCTCTGGGACAGATCCCCAGGGCCCATAATTGCCCAGAGCGGCCGTGCATACAATCCGAGGAGCTTTATCAGTCATGCAAGCGAACTCCTTCAATCTCCAGACATAATCTCTATAGATGTCAAGGTCTGGGGTGTTTCTCCAGACACAGTGGGCCTACATGACTCCAACAGGATGCAGTAGAGGGTAGGAAACAGCGAGGACCCTATCTGTTCAGGTCCTAATTCATTATCTTCCTGACAATCAACGAAACGGCCTGCCTTCCTTGAGCTGGTTTATGGGGCATTTCAGCTCTGACCTTATGTTGCATCCCTAGCAGTTGTTACTAGGTAACAAATGACCTATCTTCCATCTATGCTCAGCCCGGGAGGCAGGATTGTGATGATGTCACACTTGTGTTTGATGTCATGGAATCCAGCCTTCTGACTGGTCGGCAACAGCAGGCCGGATCTAATTTCCAGGGCGTGTTCCATCCTGGACAAATATTAATACCCCAAAGGTGAGTCGGCTTTGAAGGTTCTAGATGCCAACTGACGCAGGTAGACAGGCCCAACTGGAGAGGGACGTGCAAGGGATGGGCTCTCCTGTGAGCATGCATGAGAAGGTGAAAAAACGGGAGGTAAGAGGAAGAATCGATAAGCTGAACTTAGTAGCAAGTGGAGAAACAAATGCAAAAACAGGAACAGGAGGGAAGCCACGGGCAGTAAAGAGGTGGGAGGAGTTGATGGGGTGGAAGCAGCAAAACGTGAGGGGAAAGGAGAAAGAATTAATGACAGTTATTATAAGAAAGGGCTTGATGCTGAGTTGTGCCAGCTTATGCTTGGCACAGCTGGGGGAAGGGCATAAAGTGGCACTTCCTTCTAGCCCCCTCGGTCCTGCTGCCCGGCTATTGAGCAGAGCTGCTGGTAAGGCGAGGATTTGGCTCACTGGGGAGGTGGCCGGTAGCCATGCAGCCACACAGGCGATGCAAGCCTTGGGTAATTGCAACACGCATCCCCGGAGATGATGAAGTAACAAATGACATATTGGCGTTCTGGGAGCAGGCGGGTTTCTGCCAGCTGTGAGTGCCTCTCAGCGGATGATTTATGTCTCATAGAGTTTAGAGGTAAAAAAAGAAGACCCGCTTTGGTTTTGGCTTTCTAGTCCATCCTGCCTGCGAAGACGAGAATGATTTATGTCGGTACATTTTGTGGTGCTTTGTCCAATCTAGTCTGAAAAGCTGCCCTGGAGAGATCAGGGACCACTCGTAGGAAGTATCCCTTGAAATCAGCTTTAGTGATCTTTAATTTTCTCCCATCACTTCTACTCATGCCCTCCTTACCCCTCCTCGTCCCAAAACCACCACCTACCACCTTCTCTCTGTAGCAGGCATCACTGGCGGGCACTTTTTCTTGTGGCCTCGCCTAGGGCCTGATCTGGAATAGAATAGAATAGAATAGAATAGAAAGACTCTTAGGGTATGTCTACACTACAGCACTAATTTGAACTAACTTAATTCGAATTAGTTAATTCGAACTAAGCTAATTCAAACTAGTGCATCTAGACCTAAAAACTAGTTCGAATTCGCATTTTGCTAATTCGAACTAGCATGTCCACATTGAGTGGACCCTGAACCGAGGTTAAGGATGGCCGGAAGCAGTGCCGGCAGGGCATCAG